ATCGAAAAAATCTCGATTGGCCAGATTCAACAATATGTCTTCAGAACTCTTGACAAACTATGCAAGCAAAAAGAGNTTTGGATGGAATTCATGGACAAATCCAAACAGCTATCCAAAATATGTGCTCGTCCAGATCTATCCATCAAATGTTCAAAATCCAACAAATCGTGCACATGCACTGCAAGCAGAAAAGGTCGAAGGTTCAAGAAACCATTTAAACTTCGACGTCGANNATTCTTCANAAAGAAAAGAAGCCTCCGCAAAACGACGAAATGCTTCCTATGCCACAAAGAAGGGCATTTCGCGAAAAATTATCCAAATAAATCTGCCAAGAAAAAGCAGTATCTAATCAATTCGATATCCACCATCGCACCAGATATCGATATCAACGGCCATGATCTAGAGTCCGTTTTATCCTATGATAACGACGACAACGACGCCATTTGTGATTACTCGGAATATGACGACTCTTTCGAAACATCATACGAAGAAGAAAATGATTGCTGTTTCAAGATCACCAAGATACCGCGACAAGAAGAAAAGCACCTCATTTACCGGTGACAATCTTTGACCTAGCATGCAAAGAAGATCCAGTTCATGTCATCGCATTTATTGACACCGGAGCCCATACAACGATAATGAATCCCAAAATTCTCTCATCCTCTATATGGCTTCCATATCAACAAGAGTTTCGAGTTGCAAACGCCGGTTTGTTGACCATCAAGCTCAAGTCAAAACCGATAACCATCAAACTTTTTTCAGGTTGCCAGATTACTACTGACGTCCTCGGATCCACGGCGCCCGGAAAAGATCTGATTCTAGGATGGGATTCATACTCGCTATTGAAGACAAATTTTGATATTTCTATCGAACCACGAGGAATACGATGGAAAGCTCTTTACAAAGCCTTCACAACGATACCACGACTATTCACAATTGAAGGATTTGTGTCTGACGAGTTCAACAAAATCAAAAAGAAAATGACGACAAAGTCATGTGCAGATTCGCATACAGACTTCCTTAAAAAATGCACCAATCCACTTTGGCTCAACAAGGAGTTCTTTGTTTCATTGCCGAAGACATTCACACGACTCCAACAAAGGCGAGTCATGCAGGAATACCACCTACTCAGTTGCTCTAGGCAAATGAAGAGTGTGATCAACTAGTAAATCAGGGAATTGTTTCAACAACTAATTCCCCATGGGCATGCAGAGCATTCTATGTCAACAACCGAGCCGAACAGGCAAGAGGAAAGCTCAGACTGGTTATTGACTACAAGCCCCTCAATCAATATCTACAGGATGTCAAATTCCCGTTGCCAAACAAAAGGGCGCTTCTCCAACATCTTCAAGGAGCAACAATATTTTCGAAGTTCGACCTCAAATCTGGGTTCTGGCAGCTTGGTGTTCTTCCCGAAGAAAGGTACAAAACTGCATTCTGTCTACTAAATCGTCACCTTCAATGGAACGTTTTATCTTTCGGCCTCAAAACAGCGCCATCACTGTTCCAGCAAGCAATGCTCCGAATATTCAAACCTATCCTCCATACGTCTTTAATNTACATCGACGACATCNTTCTATTCTCGGCCGATGAAAAGGAACANATTCAGCTGCTTCAGCAGTTTCAAGACATNATCAGAGAATATGGAATTATGCTCTCAGCCAGAAAAATGGTCATAGCCCAGCCCAACATTGACTTCCTTGGCATGCAGATTGCAAACGATAAATTTACACCACAAGCCCATCTTGCTACAACACTTCTAGATTTTCCGGATGAAAATCTCACAAGGCGACAAGTTCAGCAATTCCTTGGNGTAATCAATTATGTTAGCGACTTTATCCCGTAATTTTCGCAGCTGACGAGACCGCTACAGAAAATGCTGACAAAAAATCCACCCTAATGGACAAAACGACAAACTGAGGCTGTCAAAAGTCTAAAGNTAGAGGTACAGAAGCTACCACCTTTAAAGATTCCCTCAACAGGAACACGCATTTTGCAGACAGACGCGACTGACAAATATTGGGGAGCCATTTTATTTGAAGAGATAAATGGAAAACGTCAAATCTGCGGGTACAAGAGTGGACGCTTTAAAGACTCGGAGTTCCATTATCACTCCACGTTCAAAGAAATCCTAGTAGTCAAAAGAGCTATCGAGAAGTTCGAGTTCCATCTGATTGGACACAAATTTCGCATCNAGATGGATATGTCATCTTTTCCAAAAATGCTACAATTCAAGTNAAAGATGGTCCCACATCAACAGTTGTTACGATGGAGCGAATGGTTTTCAAAGTATGATTTNGAGTCNTTCTATTTAAANGGCNCGAAAANTACTCTTGNTGACATGCTCAGTAGAANCCCAGTAAAGGAAATACAAATGATGGCGAACTCTTCTGCAAGCTCTTCTACAAAACGTTACTACGACTTCACCTTCAACATGCTAGAAGACGCCCATCAGCTTATTGACAGGAGAGCTTTACACGAGCATCTTAACGATAAGATTTTCTACTACCAATCCATTATCCTATCAAGATACGGAATCAACAACCATCAAATCTCACCATTAGGCATTCACCCTGACTATCTGTTAGCGCATCTCTACATTATCGAGAACGCTAATATGCCTGAAGAAGTCCTCTGTTTTCTATGGTACCTCTGCTCGGTTTACACCATAGGAATCACTTTTTATATAAAATGGCTATATCATTACATCAACGCTCAACAAGGTCACCAGAAAAGTTTTTCGACATTCTTAACGTGGTTTGCACCCCTACCCGTCTGGAGCGGAAAGTTGCGAAGATCAGCAAAAGCAATAAGCCTACCATTCAAGAAGTTAAAAGGTCAAGGAGGTCTTAATCCCTTCTTTAATCCTCACACAATCTATTTTTTCCATCGTCTCGTCCAAGTCAACACTAAATCAGGAAAAATCCACGCACTCCCGACACTCGTTCATCACAACGACTATCATCGCGGTGTTCGTCCTGATTTCAATATCAACGACAACAAGGCATACGAGGATTTTCAGACTCACGTGTTTCGCCTCAACAATGCTAGGCAAACTTTTCCGGTCTCCTTTATCCCAAGCTAGACTTACTATCCTGTTGATTACCAGATGAGCCTCGACGAAGACTTACAGTTCTTCATGGAAAATATGGAAAAAACGCCAAAGGTCCCCGGGTTACCAAACATAACTAATCAAGGATCTTCGTCTCAAGAATACCAGCCAGAACACTTCCAGGATGCTCAACTTCCCGATGATTNGATGAGTATTGACGAAATTGGTCAGATGTTTGGCATCAATGTCAACGACGATTCTCAGAAGCCTTATGAAGAACCAGAGATGGAATACGAATGCCCAAACGATCATTATGGCTGATGTGACAAACACATTATCAAGTTCGAAACAAACCACTAAGTAAGCTATTTTTAAGTGTGTTTAAGTATGTTTTAAGTGTGTTTTAAATGTGTTTACAATGTAAAATAAATAATTATGTAAGCATGATGTAAGCAATGATGTAATTGCTGCTTATNTAAGCATNAAATAAGCAATGATGTCATTGNTGAGGTAAGCGCTTATGTCAGCGCANTCATNCTCACCTATAAATATGTGTGTACCCCCATTGTAAAATATCAAGTTTGGAAAATATTAAAAACGTCTCTCTAAGTTCTCTCTCTAAAATGTCTTTCTAAATCCTTTAGTTT